AGGAGAATGGAAGAGGTTAAAAGAATAAAAACTTCAACTTTGTAATATTTTCCACAAAGCATGATTGGCAGAGGCAAATGGTTGGTTTATGGGTTTGAAGTCTTTTAGATCTTATTCAGCAGTTGCAAGTAAAGCAGGAGCAATCCAGGTTCTTGGATACTGTTGTTTCTATAGTTTGACCCAGTCCAGAAAAGCCCATTTAAAGATATTAAGTTAACCCTGCTCTCCCAGTTGTTCCCCAACTCTACTTGGCATCTCTGAAACAAAGCTTCATTATTTTGTGATCAATATCCTCAACGTAAAGATAATTTTGTATTACAGTGGAAGGTGGAAGAGGAGACACGGAGGGCAGCAAGAATCAGGAAAAAAAGAAACAAAGCTATTGCATGACCTTTAGATAAATCTGAGGGAAAAATATAATATTCATTCACAAAGCCAATTCTTTATGTTATACACACTTTTCAACCTCTGTATACCATTTGTTATCTAATCAGTTGTGTCAGTGCAATAAAGGTATAGTAGAATTATAAACAGATATGAAATAAAGTATTTTATCAATATGCTCTAAAACTTAGTTCATATTGGTTCAATATGCCCCCCAAACTATTCATAATTAAATGACAAATTCATTGAAACTCATGACAAAAAAAAGAAAAAAAGAGTGATGAGAGATACACTTTAATCTAATTTGAGGCCAACAATTTGTCTTTTCTATGTAAAACAATTATAAAAATAAATAGAAGGGCTGGGGTTGTGGCTCAGCAGTAGAGCACTCCCCTAGCACATGCGAGGCCCTGGGTTAGATCCTCAGCACCACATAAAAATAAATAAATAAAATAAAGATATTGTCTCCAACTAAAATATATATATTAAAAAAAATCTTTAAAATAAGTAAAAGAGATTGAATATAACTGTACCATAAAGAATACACATTTAAACTTTTATGAATTTCAAAATTATTCCTTTATGCAAAATTTTAAAAAATTTTATCAAAAATTATTTCTTTATGCAAATAAACCAATAGTATTAGAATATAATCAAATTTTCTCAAGTTTAAATGATAGTTTGGCATATGTATTGCATAATTGCCTTCAATATATGTTTCTATAGTTCCTTACAAAACTCAAATGTTTTAAAATTGGAGACTTATTCTTGATAGGAAATTCCAGGTTTCAAATTAAGACCATCAATGGGAACACTCATACAATCCTACAATATTTAGCTAAGGGGAAAGGTGACAGTTTTCTTTAATTCTTATTAATCTACTAGATGTCTTTCAAGGGCAAAAAGAAAAGCTAGGTTCACTTAAATGTCTTATTTAAATGATTTGTGCTAAAAAGGAGCTAATATTGCAAACTAAATATGGTTATCCTTTGGAAGAAAACTATGAATTTTTATAAAAGTTCAGTTATATATTCAATTCATGTGCATTTGGATATACATTAACTGAAAAAAACATTTTATAGTAAAATTATTTAAAATATCTTCTAACTGCCTAATATCAAACAACTGAAACTTATTAACCATTTACCTCAAGTGGTATTGGTGAGGAAATTATTATGAAATATTTTCCATGTTTATTTTCTGAATAAAAAGGGATAAAAATTTAAAACTTGTTGTTTTTGAAGTATAATATTGTTACAATTTTTCTATATGATTCAAAATTCAAATAAAAGGGAGAGCAATCACCATCTTTACCATTGTGGAAATGCATGTGCATACGTGTGTGTGAACACACACACACACACACACACACACACACGGGAGGAAAGCAGCAAAGAGAATGGATTTCTTACTTCTCTTAGCTACAAATCGAGGCCTGGGACATAGTTATATAGGTATAATAGAAAACCTATACTAAATTGTGAGTTCTTTAGTGGTAATTGTCCCTTAGGTTTCTGTAGCTGTATGTGCAAATGACTAACGTTCATTTGAAAGAATTAATCCATAATTTTCTGTAAAATATTATTATGCAGCCTTCCTAAAGCTTTGCAGTTCTAGCCCTGAGAGATGGCAAATTTTAATTAGGCAGAGTAATAATGAATATTGTACAAGTTTCTGAATCATCCCTGTAATAAATAATTTGGAATATAAGCATTACAGAAGCCAGGTAAAAAATGAGGAGGTCAAGGAAATGTGATTAGAAAATAAGACAAAAATATTAACCAAAAAAATTTTTCAAATACTTCTGACTTTGAAACAATGATCATGATTTAGTCCTCAGAAGCTGATCACTAACCCCCTACCACCATGTCCCCAAACTAAAATAAACAAAAACACAGATATGCTGATTAATCTCATGTCAACTTGAATGAGCTAAGAGATGCTCAGACAACTGGTAAACCATTCCTGACTGTATTTCTGGAAGAGATTGGCATTTGAATCAGCAGACAAATTAAAGAAAATTTACCCACACTCAAGTGTACTGGATACATCAAATCTATTGAGAACTTAAATGAAAATTAAAAAGTGGAGGAAGCATTTATCCTATTTTCTTGAACAAGGGCATCAATTTTCTCCTGCTTGGGATCCTGGAACTCATGATTCTTGTGCTTTCCACTCTAGGACTTACATCAGCAGATATCCTGAAGCATTTGT